TCTCTATTATTTTGAGGGAGTTTGGTCTGGTCCACAACAGTCATCGGTGCTCACCATTGTGTTATTTCATCCTGGTTCGACAAAGTTCAGCTTACTGAGCAACACTACTTCATATTCATACAAAAAAGGACCATGTTTCAGGACTGTCGGTCTAATAAGATGAGAGAGGAAGAGTCTATGGCAAGCCATTGTAGTGTTCGGTTGCAAGATTTCCTAATACTACTGAACCTGTCAGGCTCGTATCACTCCTCCAGGTTTTTATAGAAAGTGAACAAATTGATAGATGCAGGACTAACTATCTCCAAAGTGGTGAAAATAGTGACCCTATTGTTCTTCATGCAATACACAGATAGGATTTCATGCTCAGTTTGAAGAAACTTCCTTTGGAATAATTTAAAGAAGTGTGGAAGATTTGACTGGCTGGAACTGGAGAGAGGACATCTCTAGTTTTAATCCCCATGGTGAAAGTCAGTTCTTGCATTAGAAGTTAGTCAGTTAGGAAAGGGAAAAGAAAGCAGTCGTAAAGAGCTGAGAATCACTTTGGATTTGTTCCAGGAGACACAATGTGCTCACTTATGGGACAATATAAGGATAACTCGAGCTGGGAATCTTTGGCTGTGTCAAAACACATGCACGCTGGGGATGGGGTTGTGTCTTTTCCATAGCTTCAAGTAAAAATTGTTCTTTAAATACTGGTTACTCAATATTGTTTTTATTATGTTTGTTACAGTAAAAGTCTTAAAACTTGAACTCTTGTGTGTTCCTTCCAGTCAGTCATTTGTATTGCAGATATATTTCTCTAAGTGACAGGTCTCTGCAAGGAACATAACATGAGCTACTGACAAACAGAAGACTTTTCAGTAAAATGTTCCACATGCAGATGGATGTTAGAATTTGAAATAAGTATCTGCAAATGTGCATGAGCCATTGAAGTTGGCTTGACAGAATGTGATTAATGAAACATATAGTTGGCTTTATTAATATAGTCATAGAGTACAAGAGCAAGTAGATTATATTGAACATGTGCAGGACGCTGGTTAAGCCTCAGCTGACCTATTGCATTCAGTTCTGGGCACCATGTTTTATGAAGTGATTGGAGAGAAAAGTAGAAAAAATTCATGAGAATGGTTCCAGAAATGAAAAAACTTCTTCATTTCTGGAGGTAGAGAAGTTAGGACTTTGTCTTAGGTGAAAAGAAGGCTCAGGATATTTAATGAAGGTGTTCAAAATCATGAAGTGTCTGGACAGGGTAGATGGGGAGAAACTGTTATCACTTGTGAAAGGATCATGAATGTGAGGATGTGAATTTAAAGTAATTGGCAATATGACAAAAACAAGCATCAAGTGATCAAAGTCTGCAGTGTACTCCCTCAGTGGTGAATACAGATCAATTGAAGCACTCAAAATTAGATTGATTTCTGAAAAGGATGAATATGCAGGGTTGTGGAGATATGATGAGAGAATGACAATAGGTAAATTGCGCATTCGGAGATGCAATGGACTAAATGGCCTATTTCTTCACTTTAACAATACAGTGTGAAAATTTGAGGTTTGCTGTTGTGTTTGCACACTGACCTTTCATTGTTGAAACTCAAATATGGAACTGGACACAATGTGTTTTTTTTAAAATGCATCCTTGGTATGTGGGTGTCTCTGGCTGGTCCATTGTTATCCATTTGTAGTTGCCCTTGAGAAGGTGGTGCCCAACTACCACCTTGAACTATTACAGTCCTTGAAATATAGGTGCATAGAGTACTGTCAGAGAAGGAAGGAGCTCCAGGATTTTGACTTATAAACAGTGAAGGAACAGTGATATAGTTCCAAGACAGGATGGTGTCTTGCCATGCTGTGGACAGTGTTCACTGTTGTTGTTCCCATGCAACTGTTCTGTGGTTCAGAGATCGCGGATTTGGAAGATGCTGTTAAAGGACAACCGATTGCTATCAAGATGCTGGTTTAAGTTATAGTGGTCAGTGGTTTCAGGGACATTGCACCAAAAAATTGACTAATTTAGCACAAAATTCATAATCAAACTTGGTCAACAGCATGGATACCTGGAGGAAAGACAAAAATAATATTAATGATGTAGGAATTGTTCTTAATGTTTGGTTAAAGTTTATTGTAGAATCGTGGAGACTATAACCTTCACTTCATCTGACCTGTTGTAACGAAACAGAGGGGGAGAAAGCTGTACATTCCTAATTATCATGAGCACAATGTAAACTCAAAGAATTAAATGCCTCATTCTCAAATTAGACTTGTCCACCTGGCTGACCTCATTCTAAATACTACATCATAGAATGAGTTTCCTAATCAGTGGTGTTAACCTGGTCCAGTCAGGAAGTTCTGACTGACAGATATAAACAGGAGTGTCAGGGATTTGTTCACTTGAGAGCCAGCTCTGAGCTAGCTGGGTCAGAGTCATTACTATGCACGCGTAAATAAAGGGTGACTTGGTGATGGGATACTGGCCTTTGTGGAGTTATGTCAATACTCCTCTTTCAAGGTAAGCATTCACTATTACCTTAATTTTTAACTCTACTATTGATTGACAAGCTGTTTCCTTTCAATGATTGAGGTAAACGTTTACATTTTCTCATGTAAAAGACATTGTACTAATAAAGAAATCTGATTGTCATGTTTGTTTTTCTATGCCATGTGTAATAGTATGTTAAAATACATGTTCAAATCCGTTTTAAACCAATAATAAGTGTAAACCAGTCAAGAAGGGTTTTTAAGTTTCTTTGATCTGAGCATGTGGTTGTCTCTCATTAGGCTAGCATTTGTTACCCATCCCAACTTACCCTTAACGTGAGTTGACTCCTTTATTTGGTGCAACCTCTACTTTTGTTGCACTTGTGGTACTGTTAAGTAGGGAGTTCCAAGATTCTGTCCAAGAAACAATGAAGGCTCTCGATTAATACCGGCAATCCATCTGTTCTTATTTTTTTCTTTACTTTTTAACAATTTGATACAACCGACTGGAATATGAGACCATTTCAGAGTGTATTTAAAAGTTTACTGCATTGTTGTCAGTCTGGACTCAGATGTAGGTAAGACCAGCTATGGATGGCAAACTTCCTTTTCTGAAAGGGCATTAGCGAACTGGATCGGGTTGTCTGACAATGTGTAATATCGCTACTAATGTGGCAGTGTTTACTTCAAGACTTATTAATTGAATTTAAATTCTACCAGCTGCCATGGTAGGAGTGGAACCCCTGTCTCCAGATCGTTAGCCTTGGCCACTGGAATACTTGTCCCATGATAATAACACAATACAATTGCCTCCCATACAGTAGCTTGATTTCGCACAGGACAATGAACATGCTTAATACTAAGACATTATTCTTTAGTATAAAATTGGGCTATTCCAGATTCAGTATTAGGCCGATGATCTTTTCAATAGACGAAGAAGTGCACGTACATCTGAAATAGCAATATGCAAGCCACAGCAGAATCATCCTGCCAATTAAGCTATCACTGAATGTCAGGAAGAGTCACATGATATACCCAGGTGGCTATTTCAGTGAATGCAGCATATAGTTCATCCATTAGGACACTTAAAACATTGTAGTTCTATTTGTTAATCTTAAATTCTTGCAAAAAATGCCTCCACATTCGTTCTTAAAGTCTTAGAACCAAATTTCTTCCTCCAGTTGTATGAACAATAAGTATGTACCTGTGGAGCAAGGAATTATGTTAAAACATCTAAGTTACTTCTGTTATAATTGCTTAGACTAACTTTGCTTCATTATAATATTCTGTATAATATCCTATCCACCACCTGTTTTCTTTTTCTGGTCGTCTTAAGCCATTTTGGTTAAATCTCTTTTAGTAGCACTGAAAGTTTGGCAGTAAGGAGTTACAATAATATGATCAAGATTAGGTGTGGATCTGCTCTCATCTTTCTTGCTAGTCTGTAGCTGCTACTGAATTAGCTCTCACTATAGTTAGGTTCAGATCAACAACTCACCACCTGTGAGAATTAGAAACATAAGCTCATGCTGTATAAATGCGTTTTTCCCAAGCCAGTAAGAGATGGATAGAAGTGCTGAACCTGAAAGAACATCCCACGTTGCCATTGCAGGTTTGATCACCATTTCTCTTGGTTATTTATTGAGCTACATGGGAAGAGACCAGGTGGAAGATGTGTAATTTTTCTCAAGAGAACATTTGGATTATAAGTCCTCAATAGATCTCTGCATGCCTCCAGACCACTAACAAGAGTGGGTTAGACACTAATTTGGCAAGGGTCACCCACTTGCTGCCTTCTTCGCACCAGTCTACATAGGACGTTCAGGGGGGGAATAACCTTTCTCCTTGCTCATCTTTCTGCTCACACAGTGATAAGGTTTGCTCCTGAATTGCATTGTCTAAAAAACAGCCACAAATATCCCAAAAGCTGTGGTAAATATTGAATTCAGGCCAACCATATTAACATCCTCAAGTCAATTCCGTGGCTGTCAACTCTTTCTTTTCCAATCCCAGAAGATA